TCCACCCAGCCATCTAGAGGTAGTTTTATAGAGAGAGACAGATTATATGCCACATATGGTTGTACATTAGTCACCTTGTGTATATATATATGTACGTATCATACACATTGTATATTAAACATATGGTCTATAACTCCATCTTATCTGCATAAACATCCACATCTAGGGTTTTACACACACACACACACACACACACACACACACAAATACACCTGTACATCTATACGTAGAGAGATCCGGTCTATCTGTACCTATCAACCCATCTGCCTGTCCGTCCATCCATCCATCCACCCACCCACCTACCTGCCTGCCTGTGTCCGTCTGAGTGTGCCAGGTGCTACAGGTGCCACACATGTGCGCGTGACTGACTTCGGCTCTTCTGTGTTGCCCAGTTGCTGTCTTTTTCCTTACGTGGCCCAGTTCCTGCCCTGTCCCTTCCCATCCCCCTCATCCTCTGCCGACACGTGTTATTATCAAGCTGTTCCGATTCTGATCTTGCGAAACAGGAATATCAAGCTGTCACCCTGACATCCCCCGCAGCAGGGTTGGGGTTGGGACTTTGATGCCAGGCTCAGCTCCTTTCCTTGTTGTAGGACATCAGCGAGAAGCCAGCAGCACCCCCCCCCCCCCCTTTCGGGAGAGAGAGCACGGTTACTACTCGTGGCTGGCCCTGTGCTTCTGGTGGCAGCACCCTGGAGTCACCAGGAAGGAGGCTAGCTGCCTATGGAGGGAGGTAGCACTGGAACAGGATGGTTTGGCTTTAAACAGTCAACATGGCTTCCACACAGACTGGACACACATCACTTGCTACAGTCCCCACTGCCCCCCGTCACCCTCTACCCAATGCACTTTTAGTTATTTGCATTTCTACTAGGTTGTAGGCACCAGAGCCTGGTGTTCTAATAAAACTATTCAAGAGAGGAAACTAGCTCCTACCTTAAGCATGTGCCCTTAGGAGGGGCTTTCTACCCAATGACTTAGGGAGAAAAAAAAACGGGCTTACTTTTTTCACAAAACGGGGGGTCACTGCTCCAACTGAGGTCCCACTGGCAGGTGAGGGTGTCACTCCCCACGATGTCGTAGCCAGGGTCGCACTGGTATGTGATCCGGGCTCCCCTGACCAGCTCTGTATGAGAAGTGGTTTTCCAGCCGTTCTGAATTTCAGGCAAGTCTGAGCAGGAGTCGTTCCGTGACACCTCTTTAAAACAAAGACATCTTCCTTAGGTTTGGGAGAAGCGGTTTCAGACTCAAGACAGTGAAAGCTAGTGCGGCGTATTGCTGGAGAACATTGGTCACAACCCGGGATACCCAAAGGCATCACTGAGCTCTCCACTGGTGGGATCCTCTCTTCCTCTTCCTCCAAAACCCTGTCACTGAGGTGGCAGACCAAACCTTACTCTCAACTGTCTTTGTGCCAGAGTGCACAGTGAGCAGATTGGAGGCAGTTCTATGTCCTTCTAGGGACAGCGGCATCCTTGACTGCCCAAGGAAAACTACCCTGAGCAGCCAGCAGAGGCTCTCCCCAGGATGTCATCGTAGTTTATTTGGAGAAAGGACCTCTCCAGGCTGTCCAGGGAAATTGCTTCTAGAGTAGCTGGAGGGAATTGGGGGAGAGGCCCTATTTTTAAATTTGGGACTCATCTGTCCTTGCTGGAAGGTGGATGGAGAGGGAGAGATGGGTGGACACAGTGGGCTTTTTCTGGCCAAATGCCTTCAGACAGATAGCTTTGACTATATGACCCTCAGTGGGCACTACTGTGCCACACCCCTTGTGGAACTCTGTCCCCTCTCTGGCAGGAGTGACATTCAGAGTTTAACTTTCTTGGCATCATTCTCTACCTGGGTGGCCATGGCTGAGTCACCTACACTAGCCATTCCATTTCCAGAAGCTGCTACCAGGAAAATGGAAATTCTGTTTTTCCCCAGCAGACACCATGGAGACACCCAACTGCTCATCTTCATAGGTTCTTGTTAACCCTGCTGCAAGCCAGGAGACTGGTCCAATAGTCAGGCAATTCTCTCTGCCTCTGTGTCTCTGTTTCTGTCTGTTTCTCCCCTCCTCCTCCTCCTCTCTCCCTCCTTCCCTTCCCTCTTCTCTTTCTTCCTCTTCTCTTCATTCTCTATGATGTTCAGGAGTCTTATGTAGCTTCTGTCAGCCTGAACTCACTGTATATCTGAAGGTGTCCTTAAATCTCTTCATCTTTCCGAGTGCTGGGGTCATAGCTCTGCACCGCCAGTTCATTTATGAAGTACTGGGATAGAACCCAGGGCTTCATGAGTCTCTCTTCTTTTTTCCTTCCCTCCCTCCCCTTTTTTTCTTTTAAGATAGGATCTCACCATGCAGCCTTGTTTGTCTTGGAGCTTGCTATATAGACCAGGGTGGTCTTGAACTCACATGCATCTGTTTCCTGAATGCTAGGATTAAAAGCATCGCCCACCATGCCTGGCTCTTAGGGATTCATGCAAGCCAGAGCCCAGGCTGGTCCTTCCTCTCTTTTAAAGAAGAGGTGCAGCCCCAGTCATGTGACATACATTCCATGTCACTGTCTTCTACTGCAGAATGAGGTCAAGAATCATGACGCGGTTTATCCCACATGGCACGGAAACCTGACGGTTAATTAACACAGGTATGGCTCTGGTGAGATGTAAGTACCTCTGCGTATTTGGCTATGGGTCTGTTGAAGGCCTTGGCAAGCACTAGGAATCTGAACTAATGACTTCAGGTTCATGGCCAAGCTAGCACCAGGATCTAACCAATCTCTGGGCAAAAGAAATGCCCAGAAGTGTCAAACATGCTGCACTGTGGTGGTTTGAATAGGTTTGGCCTCCTTGGACTCATGTGTTTGAATGTTTGGTCATAGGGAGTGGCACTATTAGGAGGTGTGGCCTAACTGGAAGAGGCGTGGCCTTGTTGGAGGAAGTGTGTCACTGTGGGGGCGGGCTTTGAGATCTCCTATACTCAAGGTCCACTTAGTGTGGCGCCCAATTTTCTGCTGCAGCCTGGGGATCAAAATGTAGAACTCTCGGCTCCTCCAGCACCATGCCTGCCTGGAGGCTGCCGTGTTCCCAGCCATGATGATCATGGACTGAACCTCCTCTGAACCTGTAAGCCAGCCCCAATTAAATGTTTGGCTTTATAAGAGTTGCCTTGGTTGTAGTGTCTGTCCACAGCAATAAAATCAAACCAAGACAAGCACCGTGTGCCAATTTCGTGTTCATAACAGACATCAGTAATCAGTCATTTCACTGGCTTGGAATCAAGTGGAACCCTTCAGTTCCCAGTTCAGCACTGCAGCCCCTTAGGCTGGAGTTCGTTTACTACCTCCTAACTAGAGGAACGGAGAGGTAACATGCGTGACAGGACCTGTCGGCCCTGAACAGTCACAGCTCTCTCAGCTTCATACTCAGTGTACAAGAACACTTTTTAAAGACATTGCCAAAGGACACTGGCCAGACGCTGGGGTCACCTTGATCAGCCATGGACGGAGTCAGATCTTGGCCGTCTAGCTGATGATGTTCTGTAAAATTGGCTTGGGCACTAGGCAATGGAGGAACCATAGGATGACTTCATCTTACAATTGAGAGGGAGAGGGAGGCTCTGGAGACAGACGGGAGCCAAGCCACCAGAATCCCTCCCTCCAAAGGGTACCCATCAGAAGGGTATCCATCTGTGCCCCGTGAGAACTCAGGAGCTGCAGCAGTAATGTCCCCAGACATTTGCAGCACAAGAAGGGGAAAAGAACAGGTCCAAGCAGCAGACTGGAGAGGATAGATGCCTGCCTTAGCCTCTTGGAAAGTCATAGAGGTGGGGGAGGCAGATGAGGATGAAGGATGCTCACCAGCTGAGAAGATAAGAGTAACTGCCTTATCTGAGCATGTACCAGGCTCTTGGGGGCACTTCTGGTCAGAGGCAAGCCTGTCAGCTTAGATATCAGGAGAAGGGCAGACAGGAAAGTCGATGTTGGGTAGAGGTCAGAAATTTCCCAGGCCAAACACGTGGAACCTTTATTCATCCCAAGGGGGCTCCATGGTAGAAATCAGGGGCTCAGCCGGATGAGCCCTCTGTTTCCCTGATAATGAAGATGCCTCAATACTTTCTAGGAGCCAGCAGAGACCACAACCACCAGTTTAATCTTGTTATCAGGGTGTGCAGGGTGTCCCGCCATCCTGGCCATCAGAGGTTAATCATCCTTTTCACTTTCAGGAACTCTGCGTCTAACAAGAATATCATAGAATTGGGGACTTGGAGAGCTGGGAACGAGGCTACCTGTATGTGACTGTCAGCTCTGCCATGACACAGAAATCCTCTGGGATCCAGGGCGGCTTCTGCCAGGCTGGGACAGGGGCAGGGTTGGATCAGAGGCTCTGCTGGTTGCTCAAGTCTCTTCAGGGTTAGGGTGAGCAGGGTGTCATGCTGTCCTACCTTCCTGAATGCTGTGGGTGATGGCTAACCTAGCCAAGGGAGTGTTCGTGGAAGGGTGTAGAGACATGCTCGGATCTAAGATATGTCCTATAAGCGGGGAATATGGATGGATGGGGGCAAGGGAAGAAGACAGGAAAGGCGGGGAAGCTGTCATCCCACTTGCTAGGAAAGGGCGCTTCAGTCGCTATTGCTGTTGTCGATGATGCTGATAGAGGTGGTGGTGATGATGATGATGATGGTGGTGGTGATGATGATGATGATGGTGGTGGTGGTTGTGGTGATGGAGAGTGAGATGTGAACTGGCCTTGAACCTGATCACATGTTGCTTTTCTCTTGGTTTGTTTTATGGAGAGTTCGCTGGTCACACTGAGAACCAAGGAAGATGTACCCTGCTTATGTGTCCAGGCCTTGAAACATGTGAAGAAGGACAGGCAGAGCTCCCCTGTTTAGTAACTCAGCAGAAGGGGTATCTTAGGGAGAGCTGGCTTTAGGTCAGAAGACAGGGGGCAGATGAGGGCTGGGAAGGTGCCAGCAGAAGGAGGTGGGTGTGTGCCATGGCGTCAGGGCAGAGAGCTGACGAAACACGACATGCCTTAGGACTGGGAGGTCTCATGTAGTAACTGCTCTCATTCACTTCCTCAGAAACATGGTTTGAACATGCTTGGCCCAGGGAGAGGCACTATTCGGAGGTGTGGCCTCGTTGGAGTGGGTGTGGCCTCGTTGGAGTGGGTGTGG